ACCACCGCCACTGCCTCCGCCTCCGCCGCTTCCCAGCCATCGTCGGTCAGCCCGACCCAGAGCAGCGACCCGGTGGCGCCGGGCGGCGACTGCGGCGACGAAGAAGAGTTGGCGGCGGCGGCGGAGCGAGTGGTGGATGGGGTGGAGGTGGGGCGGAGCGAGGGCATAGGGCAGGTGCTGGCCGGCGGCGGGGACGATATCGTGCTCAACCCGGGGCGCGAGGTGGCTCTGGTCAAGGTCACGAGCCTGTGCGACCGGCCCATCCAGGTGGGCAGCCACTACCACTTCAGCGAGGTCAACCCCTATCTCCAGTTCGACCGCATCCTCGCCTACGGCAAGCGACTCAACATTCCCGCCGGCACCGCTGTTCGGTGCGTTCAGCGCACGCACGCACGCACGCACGCACGCACGCACGCACGCACGCACGCACGCACGCACGCACGCACGCACGCACCACACACACACATGCACGCACGCACACACACACACACACACACACTCATACACCGCACACGCACACACCGCACACGTGTGGCGTTCACAAGATTGCTGATGGCGGTGAACAGGTTTGAGCCGGGCGAGACCAAGTCGGTTCCGCTGGTGGACATTGCGGGCCGCCGCGTGGTGTCGGGCGGCAACGACCTCGCGCCGGGTCCGGTGCGCGCCGACAACGCGCCCGAGATCCTGCGCAGCCTCGAGCGCCATAAGTTTGCCCACAAGACACAGAAGAAGCGGCGGGCCGGCGCCGTGGCCACGATGACGCGATCGCACTACGCCAGCATCTTCGGGCCGACCACCGGCGATCTCGTACGGCTGGGCGACACGGGCCTCGTGGTCGAGGTCGAGCACGACTTTGCGATCTACGGCGACGAGTGCAAGTTTGGCGGCGGCAAGGTGCTGCGCGACGGCATGGGCCAGGCCTCCGGCGTCGCCGCCGCCGATGCGCTCGACTGCGTACTCACCAATGCCGTACGCCTCTGCCCATCACCCGCCAAGGCTCGAGCCCATCACCACTTGCGCTCACCCCATGGGCGTCGCCGCTGGTGCAGTTGATCGTGGACTACACGGGCGTCTACAAGGCCGACATTGGCATCAAGAACGGTCTCATCGCTGGAATCGGAAAGGCGGGAAACCCTGATGGTTCGTCGTGTCGCTCTCCCCAAGGCAGCATGGATCCCTAACAACAAATCATATCGTTGGTGTCGCGTCGCGTCGCGTCGCGCGTGGCTGTACATTTAGTGATGGAAGGGGTTCAGATGGTAGTGGGTGTGACAACTGATGTGATCGGTAGCTTCCTCGATCGTTGTGTGTGTGTGTCGTGTGTGTCGTGTGTATGTTGTCAACTCACGCTTCTCCTTCAGCGTGCGAGGGGTTGATCGTGACGGCCGGCGGTATCGACACGCACATCCACTACATCTGCCCGCAACAGTACTGTTCTGCATAATCTCCCGTCAGCCACCACCTTAAGCAAAACAGCGCACCACACACAAATTCACGAACACCAGCACCAACTGCTGATGACGTCATCAGCAGGAAAGGTACCAGCCGATCGATTCCGTCGCACCCGCACTCACGCGCTCCCTTATCTCTCCACCCCCCCCCCCAGAGTACACGAGGCGCTGGCGAGCGGCGTCACTACGATGCTTGGTGGCGGCACCGGACCCTCCACGGGGACCAACGGTATCCTGTCTTTCGTGTGCCATGTGCATCGCCATCTTCTGGCCTCTGACTGTGGTGTGTGTGTGTGTGTGTGTGTTGATGATCGGGACAGCAACGACGTGCACGCCTTCGCCGAACCACTTCCGCATGATGCTCCAAGCCACGGACAACCTGCCCATGAACTTTGCCTTCACCGGCAAGGGCAACTCGTCGAAACCCGAAGGTGCACCGACTTCTTCTTCTTCTTCTACTTTCACTTCTTACTTTAGGCCCATATCTGTAATTTTGATTATTGATCGATTGACGGTCATTATTAGGGCTGCACGAGCAAGTGGCGGCCGGCGCCGTGGGCCTGAAGCTGCACGAGGACTGGGGCACCACGCCCTCGGCCATCCGCACCTGTCTCTCCATCGCCGAGCGCTACGACATCCAGGTGCGTCAAATTGTGCCCCACATTGGCCATCAATCGTTGCCCCCATGATGACCACGACCGACTCGCACGCATGATAATCTCCATCGACCCACTCACCTCGCGAGAACGACAGGTGACGATTCACACGGACACGCTGAACGAGTCGTCGTGCGTGGAGCAAACGGTGGAGGCCTTCGAGGGCCGCTGCATTCACACCTACCACACCGAAGGCGCAGGCGGCGGGCACGCCCCGGACATCCTTTCCGTCGTTGGTCGTACGTGCAATACCCACACACACGCGCACACACACGCACTCGCACGCGCACACCACCGCACACTAACGTGGCCGGGCATCGACAGACCCCAACGTACTGCCCTCGTCCACCAATCCTACGCGCCCCTTCACAGTGAACACCCTGGATGAACATCTGGTACGCAGGACGGTCCCGGTTCTCCTCTTTCTTTTTTGAAAAACGATTTATGATCATTCCATTTATCTTTTAATTATTATGGGTTAATTTTATTTTCATTTATATTCTTTTATTTTTCGCAGGACATGTTGATGGTGTGCCACCACCTGGACAAGACGATCAATGAGGACATCGCCTTTGCGGAAAGCCGCATTCGAGGTACGACCACCCGCCCGCCCGCCAGCCCGCCTTCAAACAAACCGTCCCTCATCCGCACACGCACGTACCATCACACACGCACGCACGCACATACCGCACGCGCCACTATTGTAGCGGAGACGATCGCCGCGGAGGACATACTGCACGACATCGGCGCGATCAGCATGATCTCCTCCGACTCGCAGGCCATGGGCCGCGTGGGCGAGGTACTCTCGTTGGAGTCGAGGCGCAATAATGGTACCTGGTCACCCCCGAGCCCGACCCTAACCGCCCACCGCGTGATGCGCACCACCAGGTCATCACGCGCACGTGGCAAACGGCGGCCAAGATGAAGCTGCAGCGCGGCCACCTCGTTCCAGACAAGGACGACGACGCAGAGTCGGTCGCCGGCGGCAAGGCGAAGAAGGAGCAGCAGCAGGAGAATGACAACTTCCGGGTGCGACGGTACATCGCCAAGTACACCATCAACCCGGCCATCACGCACGGGCTGGCCCACCTCATCGGCTCCGTGGAGACCGGCAAATTCGCCGACCTCGTGCTCTGGTACTCACCCCCCGTCCCGGCGACGATGACGACGACGAGCGCGGCGGCCTGACCCAGTTGATGCATGACGTACGCGACACAGGAAGCCGGCCTTCTTCGGCAGCAAGCCGGAGATCGTGGTGAAGGGCGGGGTGATCGCATACGCGCAGATGGGCGATCCCAACGCATCGATTCCCACGCCCGAACCGGTCATCATGCGGTACTTTCGGCCTTTCCACCTCAACACCACCCTACACGGGCCACAAGCATTCCAATCATTCCGTGATCATGTTCGGTGTGCAGGCCCATGTTTGCGGCTCTCGGCAAGGCGGCGGCCAAGTGCTCCATCGCCTTCGTATCACAACTCGCGGTTGAAAGCGTACGTCGGCCTCACGCACAGCACACACGCACACGCACACGCACACGCACAGACACGCACGCACACGTACTCATCCGAGATTGTGGCCGCACACAGGGGGAGGTGAACAAGTATGAGCTCGCCAAGCGGGTGGAGCGGTCAAGGGCTGCCGCAATCTGACCAAGGCCCACATGAAGCTCAACGGCACCCTGCCCCAGGTTGGTCTGCCCTGGGCACCACCACCAGCTGGTAGTGGTGACAACTTACCTTTTTTGCTGTGTGCAGGTGAAGATCGACGCCGAGACGTACGAGGTGCAGGTCGATGGCGAGATCCTTGCCTGTGACCCGGCGTCCAAGCTGCCCCTCGCCCAGCGCTTCTTCCTCTTCTGATGTGGCTCGACTAACTCATTGCATTTCATTTTATTTAGCATACGGGAAATGTTAGATGTTAATAAACAGATCTGGGATGTGGCCCCGATAAATCTTCTTCTGCTCGTCGAGATAATAAACAAAGAGCCCCGATAAATCTTCTTCGTCGTTCTCGCACCCGTTGATGGAGCAGCTGCCGGACGAGCTGTGCCTGCATATCCTGCGATATGTCAGCCTGGAGGATCTTACGCTCCGATGCTCGGCCACATCGAGAGCCTTGCGCAGGATCTCTGACGATGCCGATCTCTGGCACCACCATCTGGATCGATACCATCCGAGATGGAGGGACGCCTTGCAGCGCATGGGCGTGGACGCGACGGTGACGCCCCTCCGCGAGTGCGTGCGTTGTCTGACGGAGGCTCACGACCCTGATGGCAAGTCGGGCTGCTGCAGGCACGATCTGACCAAGGGCGCCGCATGCACATGCTGCACCTGTCGGCGTCATCATCGTCCCGGTCAAAGGTGGCAGTGGGGCGTACTGAGTAGCCTCGTGAACGACATCGACGATGACATGAGGCAGATGATCGCGGCTGCGTACGACGCCAACGCCGCCACATCCCTTCAGCTCATTGGAGACGACGACGACGATGAACGACGACGACAACGACGACGACGACGACTAAAACGACGACGGGGACAACGACGACGATACGGCGGCGGCGGCGGCGGCGGCGACGACGACGACGACTGCGACAGGCGCAGAGAGCTGATCACAGAGCTCGAAAGGATGGGCATCTTGGAGCTGCGCAATAAGGACGGTAGGCTGGAAAGCGTGAGGTGGACCGAGGCCGCGCATCGCGATCTGAGACCGCCACTTCAACGTGGTTTGGTGTGCTACACCGATGCTGAGCTACATGCGAATTTGATGCGGCATCATCCGGAGCTATGCGACGACACCGCCCCGTCGACCGGCTCCACGGCGCCCTCGACTTCGCTCTTTGGCGCCACCACCTCGACCTACACCTCGAGGTCTTCGCTCTTTGGCGGCGGCGGCACCTCGTCCCTGTTTGGCGGCGCTGGCACCGGCGCCGCGACCGCTTCGACTTCGCTCTTTGGCGCCACCACGCCCTCCAAGGGCGGCGGCCTCTTTGGCGCCCCGGCCGCATCAACCGGCACCATCGGCGGCGGCCTCTTTGGCGGCTCTTCGCGCTTTGGCTCCACTCCGTCCACTCCCTCGGCCACCACCAGCGGCGGCTTCCCCTCGCTCGGCGGCTTCAGCGCTGGCACCACCTCGACCTTCAGCGCCCCGGCCGCCTCGACCGGCTCTTCGCGCTTTGGCCCCACTCCGTCCACTCCCTCGGCCACCACCAGCAGCAGCTTCCCCTCGCTCGGCGGCTTCAGCGCTGGCACCACCTCGACCGGCTCTTCGCGCTTTGGCCCCACCCCGTCCACTCCCTCAGCCACCACCAGCGGCGGCTTCCCCTCACTCGGCGGCTTCGGCGCTGGCACCACCTCGAGCTTCGGCGCCCCGGCCGCCTCGACCGC